TCGGCGGTGTTGCCAGCCCCCTGCCTGCCAGGCTGGGGGAGCTCCCGGTGCCGGAGTGGGGCCCGAGCTGCTGCACAGATCCACCTGCAGAACGGTGCTTCGAGAGCTCTGTAGGCTCTTTGTTCACGGCCAAGCTCTGCTTCCTCCAAACACCAGGAGCAGGACACTCTCCAAAATCCCGGCAGCGAAGGGTGACACAAGAAGGGCTTTGTGCAGCCAGTCCCCTGGCTCCGGGGCATCACAGGGGCAGCTGGAAAGAGCAGGGGCAGGGAGCTGGGTGGGGGATTTGGAGCAGGGCGTGCAGACCCTGGTGTTCCAAGGAGCAGAAAGTACCGTGCAAACGTGCCGAGATTCACCTGCTGTTCTCCATTTCAACATGAGGCGGCCAGATCCTGGCCCGGGTGGGGGGAAAGGACATAGCCATATCGAGCAAGAACAAAGGAGAGTTTTGTCTCCATCCTTACTTCTGACTGCTCAGCCTGATTTCTTCCCAGGAAGCCTGGCATTACCAGCTCCCTGTGCCAGCTGAAGGACAATGGACTGTCCCCGACAGACTGTGCTCCACACGGATGCTAAGTGGGTGCTTCTCCAATGCCTAAACATCGGGCAAAAGCAGTAGTGCTGGAGTGGGATCTGCCAGCTCCAGAAGTGAAAGTAAGTGCGTGCACGCAGAAAAAGAGGCTTCAGGAAGGTGTCTTGACCAGGAGGCTCTGGCAAGTCACTGCTTCAAAGTGCTCGTGGTCACCAGCTCAGACAGCTCTCCCGCTGCCGGAACACGGGCTGATCTCGCCAGCCGCTTCCCAGAGCAGCCCAGCAGCACTGCGGATGAGATCAGGGGTAGTATGTGCTGTGCCCGTAACGCTGACGGCCACGGCGGACCCAGGCCACCATGGGAAATGGCTGGCAAGGGAAGGAATAGATACCAGTCCACACCAGTGTCTGATGTGCTCCAGTTGCTGGCTGAGTAACAGCACAGGAACGGTCACAAACTGCTGCTGCCACAACAGGACCTTGTCACGTCACGACAGCTCCTTTCCCTTGGGTGACCCTGGCTCAAACGGCTCCGAAATACCCATCTACAGCCCAACGACAGAGAAGCAGCAGCCACGCCAGGTTCACCATCCAGACTAGCTGCTAAATCTATGATACACCCCAAGACCCTCGCTGCCACCTGCCCAGGCGAGGACGAGATCCAGGGGTGGCTGTAGTGCTGTGTGACAGCCAGGATGGCCGGGAACGAAAGACACGGATACCTATGTGATCAGGGCAGAACCCCAAATCCCATGTATTTCTAGAAGAAAGGCATGCATGGTGGGGAAAGGGAAGTTTGCCTTACTCTGGAGAAAAAGAAGTGAGGATGGCTAGAATTGCTTCCAGAAGACCAACCAGAAGTCGCAGAACTGGATGGAAACCCTGCAGCACTACCAGGGCAGCACACGCGCTAGTGCAGAGCTCTGGTTCTGCTTTCCAAGTCCTGATCCTCGTAGCTATCAGTGAACTACTAAGACTAGAGCAACTCCGTATGGTGTAGACAACTTCAATGCAAACACAATCCAATGTCTAAGTACATAGAAGCCGAGGCAGACTTCATAAAACCCACGGTAACGCAGAGAAAAATGAAAGACTGGGAGGGCATTGCCCTTCACTTCCAGATACTAGAGTCATCACTTCTCCTGGCTTGAACCCCACCAGAACAGACGGCTGGGTGTAGCGCTGGGTGGGAAAGGTGCCCCAAGATGAAAGTGCAGAGGGAACGTGGCTGCAAGACTGCTTCTGTGCAGGTCTCAAATCTTACCGTCGCAGGGTCAAACTCGCAAGAGGAGCACGTACATGGGACGGGGGAAGGAAGAAGGGCTGGGGGCAAAGAGTTATTCATGCTTAGACAACCTTTCCTCAGAGGAGCAATCAAGCCTACCACCTTCTTTGGAACAAACCAAGCTGAGGAAGAAAAGCTGGAAGGAGAAGCCAGTTTACTGGTTACAGCATTTGCCAATTTCCATTCTGCTGCTTTTCCTTCTCCCCTGCACCTGCCTGTCCCTAACCTGATGGTTTATTTGTCCTCTGTCCACTCTGGGATGTTGGCCCCTGCTAAGGCAGCCCGGTACTGCTGCAAGACACCGCGGATGCTTTTAATGAACCCCTTGGACAAAGGGAAGAGGGGGAACCCAATATCAGGGTAACCGAAAGGAAACTCCTGTAGCTCTTTCTCCTTTTCTTTGGTTTCACACTAGGCTGCAAGGCAGAGTCCTGGGCAGCCTTCCCCTCGTCCGTCCGGTCTCTGGCCAGGTCTACCCCCCTGGCTTGGCCTGTGCTCTCCGAGTCCGAGTATTGTTGGAGATCACTGGTGCTGGGCGTCGAGGTTGTGAACTCCAACTCATCCAGCTCCTCCTTCCCGTCAAGCGCTGAGTCGGAAAGCTCGGCGGCCGCCCCCCGCTCCGAGGTGCTGCCGGCCTCCCCCGGGGACCCCACATTGTCTCCTGGGCTCTCGGCCAGGGTGCCGCAGGCAGAGAGAAGGGAGGCAGAATCCGCCCTGTTGGCCTGTTCGTGGCTCCGCTCCACCAGCTCGTTTGTCTCCAGCCAGGACTCGATGCGGGACACCAGGCGCCAGCCGTTGCAGCGAAAATGCTCACGGATTTCGTGTTCAAAGACTTCCACCGGCCTGCGTAGCAGCTGCATCATGGACTGCACCACCCGGATCAAGGTCATCTCGTTGTAGCAGCGGCTGTTCTCATAGCCCTCCTGGAGGCCCCGGTCGCTGTCAAAGGCTGCCTCGTTGTAGTAGGGCTCATTCACTAGGATGAGACCTGCCAAGAGAAGGGGAGACCGAGGGGTTAAGGGAGGGACTTCACTGGGAATTAATTGCTATCTGTGGTGGACGCCGCCGGACCCTGATTTCTGCCAAGGTGGTGGAGGTTCGAGGGTCACAGCAGGCAGCACAGGGGAGGGACTGCAGGAGAAGGCACTGCAAGGAAGCCGTGCTTTGGCTTCAAGCAGAGGCCAGGTTGGACAACGAGGAACCTGCAAGATGCACTGGACCGGTATTGCAGGGGGAGCACTCATGTGAGTGGGCATCTCAGATGCTACCGAGAGCTACCAGCATTCAAGATCCTTGGCTGGCAAGAAGCCTTCCACCAGTGCGATGCAGAGTAGGTAAAAAGGGCAGAAGGGGAAAGGTTTCAACAGCTCCTTTCCCTTCCCTCCCCTCCTAGCAAAAATCCACGCAAACACACCCAAGGCTTTTTTTTCTTAAATAGTTTTTTTTCCTCTTCCTCTTAACCAGACCAAAGGCCAATCTTCAGTAACAGGCTTTGAGCTGGCCAGGTCCTGTCCTATCCAGCACAGTCCCACCAGACAGTGCAGTTCTGAGACAGTGAACGCTGTGACAAGTCTCCCATACCAAGCCTTCTCCTGCTTGCTTCTGGTCTAATGTAATTACGCGTATGTAGCAATGGCACCGGCACTGCCACGCTGCTGGCAGCCTGCCACAGACTGCATTAGAGCTGGTGGCGGCGAGATCATGAGCCTCTCAAAGCCCAGGCAGCAGGAGCGGGACAGGAGGTTTTTCACTAGTACCGGGTTGCTCCAATTAAAGATTTAGTACTTCATTTTCTAAATTTGGATCCTCAGCTGTGTAAATAAGAAAAGGCTTTTCTCATGGTGTCATTCCCCTGCAGGAGGATACAGGTGGACTGGGAGACCAGAGGAGCAGGAGTCACTGCTGGCTCAAGGCGGGAGCCCTTGCTCTGTGTCAAAGTTTTCTCAAGTCACATGCCTGGGCTCCCTGCACAAAACGTTGGCCTTGAGGAATAGATTTGATTTGGTCTGTCTGCTCTCAAACTACATACAGCAGGGCAAAGCCCTATGGCAGGAAGCCCTGGGGCTGGTCTAGACACACCCCTGATTATTCTCTGCTTCAGAAGGAGCATAAACACGATCGATCGTGGGCAAAAACATGCCCAGTGTAGGACGGGCGGGTGACTCAGTGGGGATAAAAACCAGTCCTGCAAATGAAGCCCAGTTTAGCAACTTCAGCTAACTTTGGTAACTGGCTGAGGACAGAGTGGTTCACCTTTGTCAGCTCAGAATAACAAGCAAAACAGCTCTGTGCTTAGATGCTGCAGTGAGAAGAAGGGAAAGCATTGTGTCAGAGCTGGGATGCAGCCAAAAACCAGGGCATGAGAAAAGCTTGCACCTGCTTTGACTGCTGAACTGGAGAGATAAGAACACAGCTTTGTCCAGCAAGGTGAGAGCAAAAGGCAGCACTAACCCAGCTGGGGTGCCAGGTCCCAATTGTGCCACCCCCCCATAAGTCTGTGTCCCCTCTTCCCCCTGCCTTTTCCTGTCCTGCAGGCTCTGCAAGAGCATTTACCTTGGATGGAGATGAGTACTTGAAGGAGGCTGGATTTACTGGTCCACCTTTCTGTCCCCTGAAATGCACATACATTAAATTATGTTAAAGGGCTGAGGCACCATCAATTTGATCTGTGATAATTGTAAGACAAAGAGAGGCTTTGGTTTCTCTGCGCCCCTACCACTAAGGTCCTGCGACTTGCGGCAGCAACAATGGACTGACCAGACAAGCAGATGATGTGCTAGTGTCCCACTGTACCACCCCATCCCTCCCTTACTTGTTGCCAGCCCCACACCCCATCAGCCCAGTTCTGCCTGGAACACAGTAACCCTGCACACCAGGCACCAGTTCCAACCCCTCCCCAGCTGCCCTGTCGATCTGCCTGTCCAGAACACAGCATTTCCCTGGCCCTATTTATTCCAAGTCTTCTGTTGGACTTTGTGCCACACGACATCATTTGTCTGCAGTGTGTGGGACCCAAACCACAGGAGAACACCCCATGCTGGTGCTCGCATCTCTGCTCCGTCCAACTGTGACACAGCCCGACTGGCCTGACCACAGGCTTCTCACCGAGGAAGGACAGACAAGAGACAAATACAGTCCCAGAAGAAGCCAAACGACACCAGTTACCTGCTTCACACACCTGAAACAAAGCCCAAAGCCAGAGCTATCCCCTGCTCTGAGACCAGAAGCCACTCCGCACTGTTGGCCTAGTAGGAAGTGGCTTGTTCCAAAAGCAGCCTGGCACAACCACCGCTGCCCACGGACGGGCGGATGAAAGCGTTACCTTGCCTATCCACGTCCCCAGGAGGCTGACACACACTTTGCCATTGTCGTACAGGTTGGGATTCAGCCTCCCGCTGCACTGGGAGAGGTAGCGGAAGAGAGGTGGCACAGCGGGGTAGATGTTGGGGAGCTGGATATCGAAGAGGAAGAGGCCATCTTCATAGGGGGTGCGCGTGGGCCCTTTTATAAGTGCTGAGAAGAGATCCTGTGGAGAGGAGAGAGAAGCCAGGCGCTGTGACAAGTCCTCCCACCTCGGCAGGGTTGTATTTGATAGAGGGAGAGAGGGGCTGCGATTAACTCAGCCCTTGCAAGAGTCAGCTCAAGCAACACATCTCGGGGCACCTTCCCTCTGGAAGCTGCACGGCTGCTGTGACCCGATGGCAGCCCAAGCCTTCGGATTCAAAGCAGGGCTTCAGAGGACACCAGCTGGTCACTGGTTACACCAGCCCCTTGCTGTCTGCTTTTCCTGCTTGGGGGGACAGGAAGCCCAGTGGGCAAAGCACCCGAAATAGGCTTCCTGTAACGAGGAGCTCCCCGTTGTTTGTTACCCTGACTTGGGGAATGCGAAAGCAGCCGTTTAAGGTAATTACAGCCGTATTTCACATGCTGCACACATTCCTGCAGCTCTAATGCAAAGGATTAAAGCCAAGCAGGGAATTCCAAAGAAAGCGATCTGGATGCTGAGCCCAGCACTAACACACAGGCATTTGAGAGCAGACACTTGCCATTCGATCCTCGAAGGTTTTAACCATGATGCCATCAGGCAGGGAGGTGGCCAGGAGAGCCATCTCTTTCCGCACGGTGCTAAAGAACTTCTTTGCTTCTGGAGGCTGGAACTCCATTTTCTTAAAGGCATGGGTATCTGTGGGACAAGGAGGAGAACGGGATTAAAGTCTGCCTTTGGAAACTGCCACAGGTTCCTCGTGAAGGCAAATCTATCCATGTGTTAAACCTATAATTTGGAAGAGAAGAGTTGACTTGCTTTGATGCTGAGCCAGGAGGCAGCCTAGAGATTATTTTATTTTTCCCAGACTGTACAGCAGCCACAACCTGTACCTCCTGTTCTCATGGTCCCACACAAACATTGTCCCTGTGCCCCACAGGGAGCCCTGTCCCACAGCCAGGACAATGATGCACTGCACAGAGTGATGACCCTTTCTCTGCAAAACCCAAGCACAGCTCCCCATAGTTATTTATACACACCTGCAGGTTCAGAACAGTCTGGCCACCTTTCCTTCTCAGGTCTGGCCTGCTCGTGTGGCTTGAGGAGCACCCTGGCCTCTGCTGTCACCAGCATTCCACACAACCAGATGCTCTTTTTTTATTTTTGGCTGATTAACATTGGCATAAGTGAACAAGGACACTCACCCACCAAGGACACCCGGCACAAGAACACCAGCTGTTCCTGCTCTGCTTCTCAACCAATCCAGCCCTGGAAAAAGCCTGAATAAACCCTGTAACTTTCAAGAAAGTTATCTGCAATGGAAAGCAACTGATGTCCACAGCCCTCCAAAGTTAGTCAACAACATGGACAAGGGGAAGCCCGCTTCTGTGGCTTGAGAAGTTACAGTAGTGCCTAGAGATGCCATCTAAAAGCCAGGTTTAAGTTCCAGAACAGACTGTGCTCAGAAGTTGTCATAATTTCCCCTCCCCAGTCAATAAGCTGTGAAAAGGACTAGGAAGAAGAGAGGATAGCCAATCCAAAAGGCCTAGAAACAAAGGTTTTGGACCAAGAAGCACTGCAGGACTGCAGTGAATGACAGAGCATCCCGCACTGGCCTGACCTGACACACTCACCTGGAGCATACTCCAACACGGAGAAGACTTCCCCCTTGGCACTGGTGAAGGTGACTCCAGGCTTGCCTCCACTCTGCTGGCAGAGCACCGGTGTCTCACTGGGCCACTCCGACCTCACTGGTGTCTGTGCCTCTCCTTTTTCTTCTTTCTTCTCCGTCTCCACCATAGCTTCCATCTTTTCCTCCTCTACAATAGCCACATTATCCAAGGTCTTCTTTAGATTTTCCTGTAGCTTTTTAATATCATCCAAGAACTTCTTCTCCCGAGTGGGTTTTTCCAGCTCCACAGTTGGGGAGGTGGGAGACCCAGTCAGCAGCTGCTCCACAGTCATATTTTTCAGGCTTTCCAAGATCTTGATGGCCTCCTTTAGTTCCCGGAAGCTCTTTGGGGCTCCGTCCTTACCAGCTTTCTCTGCAGCAAGATCTGCAACTGCCATAGCCACAGCTCCCTGGACTTGTTCCTCTACTTTTTTCACCTCCTCTGCTGCCGGCTCCTCAGGCTCTAATTCCTCAATTTTTGGGTGGTCGTCCTCCATGAGTCCATTGTCTGTCTCCCAGCTGTCACTTTCATCCTCCCACTCAGAGGATGCCCCGCTGGTGCTGCCGTCAACAGAATCGTAGTCTGACTCCTCAATTTCTGATTCGATATTGTATAAGTGCTAAAGGAGAACAGAGTTACAAGAAACTTAGGCGGAAGCACAGAGTTTCAGTTGTTTTTAAATGCAAGTCAGCTCTCCCCATTAAAAGGGAGCTTCCATCTAGGATTGGTTGGGCTGTTTCAACCCCTTCCATCTCTCCAGGGTGGACTGCGTTTGATCCTAATCATGTGCTCCCCCATGACTGGCACAGATTATGGATCAGCATAGCCCCATCCTCCACCTTTTGAAGCAGGGCACTGGGGGAAAACTAGGGCAAGTGGGCTGCAGCTATCTCAGTGGCTGGGATCCAGCCAAGGAGAGCACACAGGCGCCAAACAGCTACCTGCATGCCCCAGGGTTTCTGAATGCAGAGCAAGTTCAGAAGGTATTGGGTATCGTGGGCAGAGTTCGTATTTCTGGTCCTGCTTCTGCACCAGCAACTGTGTTGGCACAGAGCCCTGGTTTGGCTGCCTCCACACTCCATCCTTCCACAGAGACAATGCTGGAACTAGGAAAACATTCCCATACCAGCTTTCTTCTTCTGTGGTACACACTACTTGCCGTCAGAGCCCTGCTACGCTGCTTTAGCTGTTGTATGTCACTGCTGCTTAAAATTCCGCTGGGACAATGAAGCCTAACTTAAGTTGCTGAATAAGCTCTTACATAAAACGTTCTCTTCCCCTTTGCAACTGGAAGGTGAACCCATCCACAGTCTATCTAGCCTCACCTCTTATAATCATGCTTTTGAATATGCTACATCTCTCACAAGGTCCCCCTGCAGAGGCTTACAAACATATTCCAGCTATGAGGGCCAACACAGAAGCAGGGGAGCAAGAACAACTTTATAGGGCTGTGCTAGGAGTTACAAGATGGAGAATTTTACCCACAGGCTTCTGACACTTGAATGACAGCCCAAGAACCCTCTTAATCTTGCAAGATATGACCCCAGAGGCTGAAGTGCATGGACACTGTCCTCTTGTCAAAGCCTTGACCTGAACCAGCACTGTTTAGCCAGTCCTGTGCCACCCAGAGACAGGCAGCCAGCAGGGGTTAGTTGGGTTCAGCACAAGTGACTGCAGGCAGGAAAAGCCACCAAAACTCACTGCCCTCAAAGCTAACCCAAATTTCAGTCAGAAAGTTAATTAGCCAGTTATGCCATCTTTATTTTTAGAGCTGAGAGAAAGCACCCAGACAGCTCATCTCTGGACACATGGACAGGCATTGATAAATCACGGTTTTACCAACTGATAACTCATGCTCCTGACATTTCCCCAACTCCCGTAATTATGCAGACGAGCAGAATCGAAGGGACTGGCGTGACACAGCAGGAGCTGCTGCAGAGCCCCAGCACCGCAGTGTGAGAACAGCCCTTTGTGGAGCACGATCAGACCTCTGATTGTGCCTGTGATCCAAGCACATGTGACAACGGGGGAAGGGAGACAGCAGCCTGCTTTGTAACACTCTAGTCCACTGCCATAGTGCAGGCATTGACTATTCTACTGTAATTAATGCAGAGCTGCTTGGTTTAAAAAGAAATCTTGATCAAGTGCTTTCTACTTGCAAACGCATCTCTGCGGCGCAGGCAGTGTTGTTCTCTGCCACAGTGATGGAGATGGGACCCTACAGAAGCAGGTCTTCTCTTATCTTTAGGCTGTCTGCCTTCATTTGAGACAAGGAGAAGAGACACGGGATGAAGCTGCAGGTGGATTAGTGAACAAGACTACAAGACAGCACAATAAAAACATTAGAACAATGCAGAAGACAAATCAAGGGGGCTGAGTGGAATAGTGTGGCTATATCTATATTTTTAAGTTTGCACTCAACTCCTCTTCCTCCCCACCCTGGAAAGAGATTTAGGTCTGATCCCTAGGTTAGCTAAGGTCACAGCTTGTGGCTCTAGTTCAGCTTCTGAGGGAGCTTCCTTAGCCAAAGAAAACACTATGGTGCCACTTCACAAGCAAGACAGAACAAGCAATTGTCTTTCAGCAGTGTGTTAGCTGGGCAATGCAGTGAACCTGGGCTCAACTCAGAGCTGATGAACCCTGAGCTCTGCAACTCCCCCTGCAAGCAGCAGGTGCTGGAGGCCAGGAGCAGGGCTGTGGTCAGAGCTGTGAACATGCAGCGCAGCGTAAGGGAGCAGTCTGCCCATCCTTTCCTGGCAGCATAATATTCTCTATGTTCATGGGGAGTGATGACCTGCTCTTGACAAAGGAAGGATTTTCCTGTGCTAACAGAAGTGAGAAGCCACCCTATCATATGGGAAGGCAGCAACAAATAGAGCAAGATTCCCTCACCCAGTGAATCTCTCTGCACCCAGGATTTAAAACCAAGACTTGTCACTCAGCTGAGGACTACAGAGACATTACAAACTGGAACAGGACCTCACCTGAGGCAGAATGATAGTCTTGGAGTTATCAGCCCACACCACTTCCACTTTACTGCTGACATCCACACGAGCCACTTGTCCGACCGAGGGCTGTGGAAACAAGAGCAATGCGTCAGTCCCTTTTCTTTCCCGGGCATTTCAGTACAGAGCCAGGAAGGTTTTGAGAACCAGATACTGCCTAGGCTGGAGATCCACCTAAAGCAATGCTTGCAGGAGCGGCAGGAGTCCTGGGGTCCCATGCTGCAGGGGAGAAAGAATCCTACACACAGAAAGCTCCCCCTTCGAGGAGGAGAGGACCAGGAGGACTGGTCTGGCAGCAGATCCTGACTTCTGCTCAGGACCAGAGCCACGGCAGGGCTGCAGGGGCTGTGCCCGCATGGGGACAGGACCTTCCCCTGAACCGGGGTGCCCTCTAGTGGGGTGCCAGCTGCCGGCCCCCGCGCTGTGACACCCAGCATCAGGGGCTCACAGCAGCTTCTCCCAGCAGGGAGCGAGCAGGCGCAGGCGTGAACACACAAGTCACAGCTGGCACAGAAAGTAGCATCTTGCACTGGAGGAAGGTTATTTAGGTCAGCTGGGCAAGCTGGGATGTGTTTCATGCTGCTGAAACTAGACCTGCAATAAGAGCAATGCTCTACCTTTTAACCCTTTTTTAGGACAGCAGTCTCAAAAGCTGCTTCCCTGCACACTAAGGAAGCCTGCTTCCTTGCAAAGTGTATTCTCTACAAAATGAATTGTTCCCTCCTTCTCTCCAGGAGATCAACTAGCTCAACAAAATTAACATGTACGTAACAACTCGGATGAAAACCAGCACACCAGTCTTCTGTTGCCAAATGAAACTGGTTTCATGACAAATCCACCTCCTCTCTTGCTCAGGAGCCCACAGAACATCCTCATATTAGAAGGTACTCAGAAATCCTACACAAGAATTGTATTAAAAGCCATCAAGCACATGTTTGATTCTTGTCTCAACTTTGTTCTTGCTCTGCTATAGACTGTCACCAAGACCAAGGGATTTCAAGGTTACATCTTGACCAGACTTGCAGATTTGGTATTTTACTCACAACAGCAGGGGACACTGAGACAAAACTAGCAAGGCCAGAGAGTCAGGATGCTCCTGTGGAGCCGAAGGCTCACCTACTGACTCTTCCAAGTGTCTCCACTAATACCTGGTGACAGTGCAGTCACGTAACTGTGCCCAGAACCTACCTCATCTTCTTTAGCTGCAGCTCCATCCGAGTTGCCAATGCGAATCACAATGTCAGTAGTGCGGAAGCGAAAGTCAGGATGATCAGCAATGTCATACACACTCACATCCTCCTCCTCCCCGATCAGCTGCATGGAGACAGAAGGTGAACAGTCAGCCCCAGGATGCTGCACTGACCTTCAGAGCGCCTTCAGCACTTAAAAGTACTTTGTGTTATATTTTGTGAATTTTCAGTTGCTCTAACAGCCTGCAAGGAGCTGCTAACGTCTGTTCTTGTCACCTCATCCTGTAGCACATCAATCAAGGCACAACAATGAAAGGAAACCGATATTCTGTCTCTCATCTGCTCACCCTCACCTTTACTACAGGTTCCACATCAACACAAGAAAATTTTATTCCATTCTGAACATCCGGATTCCTCAAAGCCATTCAGCGGGGCCCAAAGCCCAGCCTTTACTTCTAAAACTATCTAAGGCAATAGGAAGCATCTGATTAAAACCTTGTCATTTGATGGGAAACATATTTTCTTTGATTTCTCCTAGAAGAGAAGCACTAGGAGCCCACAAATAATGAGAAACAGGTAAAGTGGAGCACAACCCCCAGCCAGACTGATGCTCTGTTTTGAGAAGTAAAGGGCCCTACTCAGGTATGGGAATGCAGTCTCCCATCCTAAGGCAGACAACAGTACCCTAGATTTGAGAGGGCAACATCTCCAACTAGACTGTAATCCATCAAGAATCTAAACCACAGCATTCCTTCAAGCCCCAAGAAAAACGTCTGAGGCTGACTGTAGGCAATAGTGCCTGCAAAGGTCAGCAGGACAAGGTGCAATAGATTGATCCTCTTTCCGTGAGCTAGAAAAGATGTGGGAAGGTAAAATTCTTACAGTGAACTCAAGAAATCAATTGTGTGTAACCACTTTAGCTAAGTCCCCCAGGCCCAAAAGCATGTTACTGTTCCCATCCTCAAGGACAAGCTCCACTGCAGAGCTGACTCCCAGGCTTATCTGTGTTTATCTGTGAAGCTCATGCTGTTTTGTGGCTTTCTCCTAGCTGGTTCCAGCAGGCACTGGCTTCTGCACTTACCTCCACATCATCTCCACTGGATTTCAACTTGAACCACTTCACCACGCAGGTACGGCCAATATGGTCACCAGACTGCACGACTCCGTACAACCCGGGGTCCTGGGAGCTCTGAGCTTTTGGTTGCAACAGTAGGGAAGAAAATAGATAGGTTAAGTGGAGAAGCACAGACTGCCCAGCACCCGACGCTGTCAGCTCCCAAGCTCTCCCAGCTGAAGCCTTCCATTTGTGAATGGCATGAGGAAAAACCATTCTTCCTACACTTCCTACAAAACCATACTCGGCTAACAAGTTGCATTTTAATAGGGCATGAAGTGATGATCAAGTAAGATTATGCTGCATTGGAATGGGTGAACACATTCACTGTGGGACCACTTTTGAGCTCTATCACCAAGAGAAAACAGGCTGTCACCGTAACGCTTTGCTCTCCAAACCAGCTCCACACTGGGGCTGTCAGAGTTTCAGGACGGGGTGGCCAAGAGCTCCCCAGGAGCAGCCCTGGCTGCCACGCTCTTCATTTAGAACTGCGCCACCCACAACGATTATGCTCTTCTGGGAAAGTGCGCTGGACAAAGGGGGAAGGGAGGAAGGATGGAGGCATACATGTGCACCCATCAGGGATCCAGGAGCACCAAAGCTGGGCCTGGACCACCTCTCTAGGCCTGGGCTGTTATCCAGCACACTGGTATCCAGACACCTTTCAGATTTATCTGGCTGACAAGATCCACTTCCCAGCATCCTTAGGAGGGGATGCAAGGAACTGCAGGCATCCCAGACGACTTGGAGGGTATGTTTGACAGACACAGAGAGGAATGCCATTGTAGTTTGGTCTCTGGGAATCTGCAGAGCTGAAGCTGATGGATAATGTTAGTTTCCACAAACTAGATCTAACCCACAAGACCAGACTACTACTCATCAGAAATGGCCACGCAGAACAGCATCGTTTTTTTGCTAAGCCAGCTTTCCCCCTTCCCAATCTGACAATATCTTGTGCTCCCCACTGTTAAGGGTCTATCCCTGCTAGAACAGAAGAGGAGCTGAGAGCCAGATGGTGTGCCATCGATATTTCATATCCAAAAGCTGTAAAACTCCTCAAATGTGTACTGTGACCCTCACTAGTGTCACCATTGGTTTGGTGAAGAAAAGGGATGCAAGGAAATGTCTCTGTAACCCAAAATGCTCCAAGAAAAAATGGAGTCATGATAGACAAGCCATGCAGAGAAAGCAGCGTGAGATGAGTTGTTAATTTCTCCCCTCATTCTGCGAGAGAGCTCAGAGCCATCTGCACTTTCAAAGACAAGGTGGGCTACTTCTGCTCCACAGAAACACTGAGAAATACTTTGCTTCTTGGCTTTTATTCCTTTCACATCTCGCCTGTTGTCATAGTTCAACCTTGGTATTTAAATAATGATTCTCTGCTGACATTCACGTTAAGTCACCTGAATCACTGTCTGTCCCCTTGTCAGGCTCCTGTGTCTACCTCAAGCAAATACTGCTAACAGCTACCATAAAAAGGGCTACAGTACATCAGGGGATCCCGACTGAAGAATACTTGGCAATTAAGAGCATGTTTGTTCCCTGAGGAGAGCATCGTTTTGACACCCAGTACCTCTTTTGTCCACCACAAAATCCCCAGGGCAGAACTCGTTGTTGTCCAGATGATGGACTGGAATCAGCTCGTTGGAGCGAATGTTTGTCTCCACGGTGCCATCCTGCCACATCACATCAGCTGAAGTCATCGTGGTCACCACTTCTACAGCAACCCTAGGAACACAGAAAGGCAACGAGTTACCAGAGGAAATGTGCACGAGCACACCCAGAACATGATGCTGGCAGCACCAGGAATCAAGATGGATCTCAGCAAGTCAGGAAACCCCATCCAGTCCCCCTTCAGCAGCTACACAGCAGGCTTTGTTTTAACGGGTTCTCAGTCACTGCAGATGTTACATTGCTGCAAGTCGGTATTGCGGGAGGACTTACTTTCCAGGGAGCTGATGCTGAGCTCACTTTTTCCTCATGGAGCAAATTATCTGCTAGCACCCACTATCTACCCCTGGCAGAGGCAAGACAGGTCCTTCAAATACTTTGAAACTTAAGATCTTCTCCACTGAAGCACCTTCTAGCCTGGCAGCTCTGAGGAGCCTTTGAAGCCAGAGGAGCATGGGAATGTAAAGGAAAGATAAAGCAGCATCCATCTCAGCCCTTTCAGAAAGAATATAAAAAAAAGAGGCAACACATTCAATGTGGGTAGAGCTAAAGGATTTTGTTTAAAAGAGAAAAGTCTCCTTTTCCAGCTGTTCAAACACATACATGTGTCTCTCTGCAGCTCAGAAATGAAACCCAAACATGCAACAATAGACCACATACTGGTACTCTGTTGTGGAGCTTAACAGAGCTGCTTGAAGAGGCAAGTTGCTTGGGGGCAGGAGGAACAGAGCTACAGTCTAGCTGGACAGACTCTTCTAATGAGCCCTCCACCATTTTCATCTCTCCTACAGTGTGGAACAAATTGAATCCCATGCTGATTTTAAATCTTTTCTTTATTTTGCTTGCCAGGCCTTCCAGACATAATACCAGTGCTGCATTTATGTTGGTTTCAAGTCAAACCATAAAGAAGACACAATAGGCAAATACAACTGTTTTTCCCCAGCTCTGTTTTTATGAATGTTAGAAAAATATTTTTAAGTAGAAATAATATGAAATTTCTAGTAGGGCCAGCACTTAAGAGCAGATATTATCAGAGAAGGAAATCTGTAACACATCAAGGGTAGTGGGTGACATGCCAAGAGATGGTTCCTTGGGGAAGTGGGGACATTGCAGCTGAGCATGGGAGAGTGGAACGGCAGGCCACCCAAGGAAATGATACAGTCCTGTCTGCAGTGCCATTTATGCTGCTTTGCAAACAAAAATCATGACTTGGCATTAGTAAAAAGCCCTGTATATCCTCACTAAAAAATAACCAGAGGTCTATGTCCTGCCTAAAGAGCTGCAGCAAGTCACTAAATGATGGTAAAGCCACATGCTGAGTTGGCCCCCTGCAGTCAGAGATGCCCATGAGCTGACACATCAGTTCTGGTGACTAACTGCAGCAAGCCCATCCACTTTGCATTTCTCAGCAGCGCTTGGCAGCACACCTACCGCTGGTCTCACCAGCTTCATCTCAATATTCAAACAGGGAAGAACCCCCATACTGAGCTGTGACCACTCGCCACACATGCCCTTTAAAGTATCAGCTGCGGTTTCACATTCTGTGCTTAAAAACCTGTATTTCTTAATTCTCTGTGACACGGTCATCTCTGCAAAGTGTCCCAGCAGCTCATCTCTGCATTTCTTTGTACAGAGCTGCCCAGACCCAGCACAGGAATCTCTGGTGTCACAGGGATCTCTCCCCACCACCTGTATGGTGCAGACAGCTACCAGGTTTACTAGCTAACCTCTCCTTAACAAAACCCTTAGTGAAGCAGAAGCAGTCAGCAGGAGGGCGAGAAGCAAAAAGTGAACCAAGAATAATTTTTCAGGAACTCTATCATGCGCTTCCATTTTTTCTTTCACTTGAATACTGCTCTGCTGAGGTTTGTGACCTTCAAATCCAATTTCTCCAAAACCCACAAGGACTAAAGGAACAGCTCTCCTTGCGTACAAAGCTAGAACACCCAAAGAAAATGTGAATGAAGTTCATGGCATTCTCAAAACTACTGGATCCCTTGAATCCTGCTAACGTCACTTTTCTGGGAGGATTCTCACGTATTATCTGCACTAGTTCATTTCCAATGGAGGACCTGTATACAAAGAAGTAGCTCAGGGAAGCCAGCAAGACAGGTTAGCCAGCTGTCAGGTGTCTTTGCATCCACTGGAAACAGTTTAAACATCCTCAAGTTAGGACAAAGATAAAAGTTGCTGAGATGCAGTTTTATCTAGAAATGGGCAGATACATGCAATGCTTCCTCCCTGAACCTACTGAAATCAATTCCTGCAAGGCTCTCAAAGAGTGCATATTCTTCTTTTAAAAATGCCAATAAAAAGTACACTGCTGGCAGACATTGCAGATCTCTCTCCAGAGCAGAGTGAGGCTAACAGAGACCACTGCAGCACAAACCCCTGCCAGCACAGACCTCTGTGCTGATCTGGAGACAGCTCCCTGGGACGGTAAGCTGTCCGCTCATGCCAGCATGTCTATCCCTCAGCCTCTCTGCAGAAGCTGCTGATGAGGTAACCAATTAGTGTCATGTTTAAGCTATAAGATCTTTATTCACCTGCCTCTTTCTCCGCGTACAGATATTCTGTTGGTGCCTCGAGGCATAGCTGAGATAGAATAACATCAGTGTCATGTCACGTGGCCCCAGTTTCATCAGAAGCTGGACTGAGACCAAGCTGATTTCACACAGGCCACTGCACAGTCATCACAAGATAATTGCTGTTGGTTACCACCAAGTGGTGTCCTGACGTGAGGCACACTATTGCCCCTCTACCCAAGCTGAAGAGGAGGGTTACCTCTGAGAACTTTGATAAGGGAGATTTTAGCAAGTGTACCTGGGTTTGGAAAACCAACTCACCTGTCTCCTGGCTTAAACTCTCGTGAAATCTTGGTCTTCTTCTTCTTGTGCTTCCGCTTCAAGTTTTTGATGGAAAGAGGGATGCTCTTCTTGCGGCCAGTGCCACTGCCACTCTGGGACGAGGCAGTGGAGCTAGCAGAAGAGGTGACAGAGCTAGTGTCATCAGTGTCATCAGCTGCTTCATCATCAGCATCTTGCTCCATGGACTGAAGCCGGTAGTCAGGCGACCCTTCATCTTTCAGCAGAAAGGGAGGCTGCTGCTGTCGCACTGCTGCTCCCCCCTTCTCCTTCCCCGTTTCTTCAGGCTGCTGCTCCTCCTTTCTCTCCCCAGGACTTGGTGCAATGTTGGAAGAGTCATCCAGCTCACACTTTGATCCAGGTTTAAGCTCTTCTGATTTTTGGTCAGCAGCTGCAGCAGATTCTTTGTCAGGTGCTTCACTGGTACCCTGAGACTCCGGGGAGCATGACATGATCTTCACTATCTGCTTCTTCAGCAGCCGCCTCACCTAGGGAAAGCAGACCTGGGTCTGACAATATGCCTGTACACTCAGCAAGCTGACAGCCAGCCTGGGAAATGGTTAGCTTTGTACACAGAGGAGAACAGCACCCCACGGGCCTCTGCACATTTCACCTACACCACTGAATCCTGCAAACCAGCATCTCACCACTGTTAACTCAGGAGCAAATATGAGCTGATCCTGAGCAGCACTGGACTAGTCCAAGGAACATGAGTTTTGCTCTTTAAGGCTATTTTAAGCATGTTCTGAACTTTTTGTTATGGAAGGTCACAAGTGGCTGCACAAGTTAATCTATGTAACAGACACAGCTAGGCAGGGAGGTCACCATCCCCAGTGCTGATATCCTGTTATTCTAGGAACACCGCTGCTCCACAGCCAGCATGCAGAAACCATAGCATGACTCATTTGGACTGGGAAGCAAAGACTTCTCTTGTCTCAGTGTGCAAGGATTTAACTGAACAGTTCAGCTCAGTGAGAAACCTGAGGTCACAGCTAATGAAAACGATACGTTTAACAGTCCCGGCTGTCAGAGCACACTAGCTCCAACACAGCTTAACCCCTGCAAGGTGACACCTCTATGTTCAATGTCCTGTTCATGTTCTCTTGTGGCATTAGCTGCATGCTTCACCCAGTGCAGTCAGACTGCTGTACAAGGTCACTTCGCTGCTGGCGACAACAAGCCATTACTCTTTACAACCACTCCAGAAGTCACATACCAGACCACATGACCACCAGGAAGGTTTCTGCTCTAAAAGCCACAGTGACCAGAAATGCTAGGAGAAGTTAATGCCTCCCTTGATCCCTCAACTCACCTTTTTGGCAACTGATCCTTCACCCAGGACGCAGTTCCTCTCGGGGCATTCACAGGTGATTTTTGCAGGTTCCACTTTGTCCGGGAACACATAGAGGCACCTTTCCCCAAGCTGCCTTTGGGCATGGTCAAAGCACCCTAGACGCTTTACCCTGGTAGAACAGGAGGACAGCCATGAGCAAAGACCGAAAGCAGTAACAGAACCTAGAAGCAACCAGAGCCTTCAGAAGGCTGGCACAACCTCACGCCAACAGCACTTCTAGGGTGGCAGAAGCCAACACCACACCAAATCTTTTCCAGGCACACAATTCTAAAGGCGGAGTGGGAAATTTCACCAGGGACTGGGTGGGGATACAAAGGGTTTGTGTGGGACACCAGTCATTCCTCTCCCTCTAGCTCCCCCTCCCAGAGACAGCTGCCAAGAGACATTTGAAGTTGGCATTGGTTTTTTTGCTGTCATCTGAGAGCTGCTCTCCTCCAGCTTATGAACTCCACGCAGGAACCACACTGCAGTGTGCTATTACTCCTCTGACTTCTGAGTTTTGTCCAGCCCGTTTTTGCAGCTGTAGCCTGAAGAGGGCACCAGATGCTCCCCCAGCACCTGCCTGGGTCCAGAGCAGGATACCTTAGCTGCCTACCGCGCACACACACAGTTAAGAGATGCAGCCTGCTCCAGACACAGGTGGAAGGACAAGGGAAGAAGTGAGCTGTTGCCAGATACCACCTTGCTCTATGCACTGGCAGCTGGAGAGTACTTGGAGAGCATTGGTGGGATGCTACCCCCTGTACTGTTAACTCAAGTGCCTGCTAAACTACTTTGGAAGCTGTTCTCTCACATTTTTGAAGCTCTGGAATATACAGGCACACAACAAGGCAAAAAACCCAGTGGAAACAGCAGCATTGTGCCTAATCAGCTGGTAGGCACATCACCCATGTCCGTGCAGGCCCTGGGTGCTGGGAGTGAAAAGGGATTTTCAACTAATCTCACCTGGACAGGTTCTCCTGGCTGATTACAGAGGGAGGAGGGCTCACACTGTCAGTACCTCCAGGACAGAAGCTCTTAGTGATCCAAGTGACCTTTAGCTCTACCACCTGTACCTACAATGTAAATAGAGAGAAAGCAATTTAATTTTTCAGGGGCTTTCCTAGACCAGTGTCTAGGATCTAAACATTTATGCACAGGAAAGCAGCAAACCCGCTTTTATAATTTAAGATGGCCAAATACAGTCTCACCACATCCAGGACCACTACAGTGCTCCCGTAGCACGGCTCTTGGCAACACCAAGAGCTTCTACAGTTTTTAACTTCAAGAAAGACGAAATTTGGCTTAGGAAGGAAGCCATAGTACATATAAATCAGTGGTCCAATGTCACTAAGAGACATGCTAATGGACTTGGAGCTGCTCCCTCTTTCAGCACAGAGTCAGCAACGTTTCTTCCTTTCTGGATAGCGTGCAACATTAAGTTTCAACAGAAGAGGTGCTTCTACTACCGTAATGATCAGCAGTATTGGCTTCTAAGTGTACTGGCACACGATCACCTTCCAGGGTACCGGCAGGGGCTCTTGGGAGGAAAAGCCAAACCACACTCAAAAGTCCTGTCAGTCCACAATGAGAAATTTGTCACCTTGGAGGAACACAGCCACAGTTCATTTGCTCTTGGAAGGTTACCATGGCAAGCTGACTCTGCTCCAAAACGCCAGCCAGGGACCGTTCTATGCAGAAGGTGGCCGTGTGTCCGCTTGTCGGTCCTTACCTCTTCCACCACCACTCTGAACTTGCTCTTTGTGCTCAGAACAGGCTTCACACCCGAGAGCCACTGCACGCTGGAGAAGACTTTAGAAGGCCCAATGAGGACTTGCCCAGGATAAAAGCCATATGAATCATCAAAGAAGAGACCCTGTGGGGGAAAGGGAGGTGGAAAAAATGGCATAAAGGTCTCCTAGGATTTAAGATTCCAGCATTTCTCTTCTCTCATTCATGATCAGTAAGATTAACCACAAAGGTAAAGTCTGCAAGTTGCCCATCTCCTAGAACTCATCCCTCTCCTGAAGGCAGCCCAGCACTTCCTATAGCAACCCGCTCCGTCACACATCCAAAGGGGACTATGACTGGTGGGGGAGAACAAAGGTACTTGCAAGAAACAAAAGATGTGTGTTTCCACACAAATGTTCTCAGTAACAGGGTAGCCAAGGTGTGCTGGGCCCTGGGCAAGGACACCCATCCCTTTTCCACACAGAGCTTTCAGAGCCAGAGGATGCCTGCCTTCACTCCTCTGCTCGTCAAATTACATAAGTATTATTCCTGTCTTAGGTGGATTAGCTAATACAACAGTTCTTTGAAAACAAAACAGGATGGTAAACACAACAATTGCTCTCCTAGAGCTCTTTCCCACTGATATTCTGAGTGACTTGATGAGTTGAAGAGTCAGAATGTGTGGGCAGACAGAGCAGTTGAGGGCAGATAAAATACTGAGCACAAACCTGTAGCAAATCTTGTAATTTGTCAGAAAGGATAAGAGCAGTACGACAAGATCTAAATCAGGTAAGTACCTAACACAGCAATTCTGAGTATGGGCTCAAGAGTAACACTGGAGACAACTCATGTTTCAGACCAAACAGTGAGCCTCCGGAAGACTATGTACACTTTAAAAGCAGCCTGACTCAAAACAAGAGATGTCAAAATTGGGTACCCAGACACTGGATGCTGCCACAACATCTATTTAATGAGCAGAAAATATGCTGCACAATACACAGCAGAAGAGACTAAGATACTGGAGAATATCTAGCAACAGACCACACCTTTTCTGTACCGAACAAGAAAACCACAGCAGCACATCCTATTAAACTGACATTCCATTTACTCTTTAAGAAACAGGCATAAAATTTTAACAGAAATGCAGTTTTAGATCAAAGGAACCTTCGCTTTGAAGGCTGGGAAGGATAAGGGCTGACTGCATTGCTAGTTCCTAAGAATTACACGCCATTCTCAGCTGCCAAAACCACTGCCAGGAGTGCAGCGAGGCCCTACTGATGCTGTTTGGAAGACAAACAAGCTGTTGTCAGCCTTTGAAGGTGAGAGAGGTTAGATCCCACCATCACACAGGGAACCGTTTTACCCAAAAGCTAGCAAAACCTTCCGCACCATGTGATTTGGAAAATGCCCGTACGGTGTCGGGTCTCCATTCAGAGAATATGATGGACTACAATAACAAGAGAGGCAGTATTTCACATCATCTGGAAACGTGCTTCTAGCAGAACACCTTTTAAATAACCTGCCCTTTTCCAGAAGGGGAACAATTTTGAAAGCATTAAATGGAGTAAGAGCCCTTCTAAACACGTACAGATAATGAGCAGATAGTGAACTGCCTTGACATCAGCCATCTGACTGCATGTTATGCAAGTTTTTTGCAAAGAAAGCAGTAGCAGCTGGATATACTAATTGTAATACCTCCGCAAAACCTGCTCATTACTAACATTACCCTTAAGCTACATCCTGTTACACTTACTGTAAGTGAAGATCTAGTGAAGTGTTTTTCATCTGTGACGCATCGTTTCATTTCTAGGATTAATAATGCCTATAGTTTTGCCTTCTCCCCCACTCCTGCATAAAACGCTTACGAGGTTAAGTTCATCAAAAAGGCTCCAAGGAGAACCAGAAGCTCACCGAGTCACTGACGTGAGGACAAACGTCATACAGCTTGGCTCCATCTTCTGTGCTCATAGAACACCTGGAAAACAGACAAGAGACAGTCGCCTTTCCAGAGCCATCCACCTCAAAAGCAAACAGCCACTGCCCAAGCAGGTCTGTCCGTGTGCCCAGCAGTATATTGCTGAGCCTTTATGGTCCAGAGCAAAACTGGTTATAGACAAGTTATAAGAGCACTGCCTCTTATCTAAAGGTTCCATTCAGCATGTAAAAGAAATAATAATTAAGTAATATGCAGGGTGCTAGACAAGATTTGTCTTCTGTAAAGGTCCCACTTGTTATTCACACCAATCCTAAAGGCAATTTGGTTATACTTGCTTCAGTAATAGCTTCATTTCCAGAGTGAGTTCTGGTGGGATCTCAAATGATTCATTAGGAAGAGATGTTGAAAACAGTTACCTCATTTTACATTGCTATGCATGAGCTGGTAACAGAAACCAAGCACGGTTTTAAATTGCACCAGTGGCTGCAGGCAATCCAGATAGAGAAGTGTAGCTATTTTTCACTCCCAGTTTAACACACGCATAAGAGCCTTCCAGCCTGAGTTAACTGAAAGCTAAAACAATCAAAATTTCAGACGCATCCACCAATCATCTGTTATAGCTCTCGCATCACTTGCTTCTCTTAGACTCTGAGCTGGCTGCAGGATTGTGAGCTTTTTTTTTTTAAACATCAATGTCAACACTCAATTTACAAGACAGATGGGTTATTCCCCAGCTGCCAGGCCCATAAGCCTCTTGGCCCTCCACTGGTTCATTCCTTCTCTTGCATCAATAGAAAAAGTTTGTTGGACAAGACAGGCCTCAGTAACAGAGTGAACGCAGTGAATTCAAAGGGGTTTAGTTCTCAAATAACTGCCTGATATGCACAAGGAACAGAATTCAGATCCTCCTGCTGGCTTTGCAGAAATAATTTAACCAGATATTTTTTCCAATATCTCTGGTTAAACCTTTCTCTAGAGATATGACTTTGGATTAGGTCTTCACTGGAAAAACATTCCAAATACAGTTGCAAGTAACAGTGAAAGAGCAAAGCTGATCAGTCTTGGGCTGCTTTTCCATCTTTGATAAAAAACACTAGTCTGCAAGTTCCTACACTTTCACAGACCCTTTTTTTAAGGTAAGAATCCTCCGTGTATCTCAGCAAAGTTAGGCTCTCCTACTGAGAATACATCTGGAATAGCAGTTGATCTTAAACAGCTATTTTTCCAGAGGAGAAGCACAGTTTAAAGACCGATGTGCTTTATTTCTGGAGCACTGATCTGCTGGGATTGAAAAACGTTGTCACCTTTCAAACAACACCTTTTTCAGAGGGTGGCGAATGAATCTCAATGTTTTCAGAGAAGATAACACAAGCATATAACTTATCAGCATGTGAATGAAGCCCAGCCAGCTTCTAGTTCTCCTAAACTAGATCAGGAATGTGCAACCCGAGGGGGACAGTCTTCAACAGAAAGAGAAGTACCTGGCTCCGTTGGAAAGCTTGAGGATGACCTGGTTCTTCAAATCATAGACCTTGCCCAGCCAGCAGTCGTAGGCTATGTAGTCACCATACATGAAAGGCTACAAAGAAAACAGGAAACAAAACCTTACGAACACCAACCCTTGTACTTCGAACCATCAAGCAAAACCTCATACAATGCAGAGTAGATAGCAATTGCACAGGAATTTATGACAGCAACTGTAGATCTCACTGTAAACTGGAATAATGTACATTGAAGAGCTTGCTTGACAGTCAGCACATAGCCTGGATTCCCAGTCAAATAGCTTGGGCTTTCTGGGATTTTCTTCTCAGATCTTAAACTTGCTAAACTGCACTTGCCTTCAACCAATATTAACAATTATTTTTTATTCCTGAGCCTAATATTCCATCCCAAGTAGAGAATCCTGTATCCCACTGCCTGGCCACAAGCTGTTTTTGAGAAGGATTGTGACACTCCTGCTCTTCACTCCCAAATTATATTTTTCTTAGACGAAAAAGAATGATGAAATCCTATCCCACCTGGTCTCTGTAAATCACCCACCTACTCAAGAAGGAGAACCAGGTATGTTTCAGACTGTTCCAGCTCAACAGAAAGGTAGTCGACTCCTCTCAGCATTTTTATAGCCTGTTTAAACAACAATACTGCAGCTCAGAAGCCCTGGGCCACTGCCATGGGGCTGCACCCATCAGGTCATCACAGCAGCCCACCTCAATGCAAAAGTTCTCGCACAATTTAATGTCAGCCTAGCCCTCCATGTCAATTTGGTCTCAGCCATGTGATCAGAAACACAGAACAGATGGGGAGATGAGGTGATGCTGCATCATCTTTCAGGGAGGATGCTTTCAGTAAGTTTAAAATAAAACCAAACCGCAGATGCATCTTGCACAATATGGATTCCTCCCATGCATGTGTTACTTGGAATACAGCAGCATCCCTCTAATCCACCACGCCCTGGCTCCCACGTGTATTTTGGCTGTGTTCTCACCCAGATATGTTGCAGGTCTTTGCTGTTGACAGGGTAGAGGATGCAGTTGGTTCCTACCAGCTTCACAGCACACTCTATGTTGACATCAATTACAGTCCCACACTGGCTGTCCTGAAAACACAAAAGAGAAAAAGTTTATCACCTAGGGAAGGTCCTACACACACACGTATGTGCTCTGTGTACCCATGGGGAGCGCAGAGGCAAGTCTCAAGAGTAAACCCGCCTCACAACCTTCAGGCCCCCCCTTCTGAAGGGGCATTTCACATGACCCTGAGACAACTCAGAAGGTGAGATCGCTATGAAAGACCCGCAGTGTTTTCTCACCAGTTAAAACCTGTAATGGCTGCTAACACAGGAGCCCAGAGACTCCTACATCTGGTCAAATAAGCCCACACGACGTCAGGTGATTACCATTCACTTGCTTTAAGATCTGCCTGGCTCCTTGGACTAAACTGAGCAGTTCTGGGCAACTCCACAGGTACTGCCCTGAGCCAGCAAAGGCAGGGGTAGATCATCATCTCCAGCACACAAGAGAACATCTTTAAAGCCATCTGTGACTTCTCTTGTAAAGCTTGATTTTGCAGGACAATGTAAATGGTCTCCAATTGCTGACATACTGAAAAAAAACCTGGCACCTTTCATTAGATTTCAAGGTTTCAAGCCAGATAATTTACAGTTGGTCCAATTATGAGATGGTTGTCATTATCTCCCTCACTAGCAAAGTTTTAATCTTTTTTGTCCCCAAGAAAATACCACATGCTGTCAAGAGCCTTCTGGGGATAGCCTGGCAGGGAGCACACAATATGCACGTTGCTTACACATATGGGGGAGGCCTGCAAGGAAGGGCTGCTAACCCAAACACTGTCAAACCTGGCAGCTGCCCTGGCCTCCTGACAGCTGGGACAATCGATACTCTTATTTATTAAAGACTACAAGTCCATTATAAAAGCTGACTGAGGGCCAGCATGACAAATGCCCTGGTATCAGCAACTTCTGAAGCTGTCCTTGTCTCAAACATCAAGGTCTCTGCTCCGCAGGACTGGAGCAGAACACTCGAAGGGCTTATACCCTGTGAGAAGTGGATTTGTTTGCTCAGTCCACTCAAACACGCAGTTCTTTCGACCACATTAAATATTTATTCAAGGCTTTCACTCAGAACCCTGGGCAGCCCTTTTGGGAGTTCAGGAGTTTGCTGGTGCTCAACCCATCCACTCTCATCTTGGAGACTGGTAGTTTACAGCAAAGACACCCTACAGACACCCGCCGTCCAGGATAATTCCTGGACAGACTGCTCAGCCCATTTGGCTGGCTTGCTTTCCACCTGCTTCCTGCAAGTCCTCTTCCTCACATCACACAAACCTTGTGCTCCTCAGCTCTCTGGCTCCCGAGGAAGAGGCAATGAGGAGAGCAGGTCCTGCCCCAGGCGCGGCTGTGCCAGCATGGCCAGGAGGGCCCGCAGAGCCCAAAGCAGGAGGGGCTCGTTCCCTCCAGCTGCTCCTCATATCACTCCCATTTCTTTTCAGAAAGGCTGGGAAGCAAAAGGAGTCTTTCCCAGCTACAGCTCCATCACAACAGACAGAAGCTAAGCCTAACGCAGCTTGCAGCCCGTACAGGCTGCCAGGAAAGAGCCCAGCAGAGCTGCGCCGTAACTCTCACCTGGAAAGGGTTTGCCAGACCTACACCGGATTCACGACAGCTGCTGCCAGCACGATTCGAGCTGCAGGATGAGCAAAGCCTGCTCAGAAGTGGCACCTGCTCAACAAACCCACAGCTTCTGAAGGACAGAGCACGGCCACCTACCCTGCGCTTCCTCCAGATTAAGCTAAATGAAGCGTGCCCAGTCCATCCTCTGCCTGTGCTTTGCAGTTCAGGCCCTGGGTTTCAGATCTCTTAGTAGTCAGAACCAAAAAAACCTCAAGAAACAAATCCCTTGCCCTACACTAAGCATTTCAGAATTAACTTTCCCTTTATCAGCAGCCAACAGGACAGCAACTCTGAGACATGATACAATCCAACACCTGCAGTTTCTGTGGATCATCTCATCTCTGGGCCTAAACACCCTCTTTTACTAAGAATACCAAGTAATAAAACCAGGACTGGAGTGACTGATGTACCCCAACACCCTCTGCCCATTCTCTAACTGAGAGTTTCTTTGTGGAGATGGTGCCTGCACCACCCTACAAGCCTGTCTCCCATCTAACACAGCCAGGTGCTGTTAGCCATGGGCCAGAGCACTGGGTTTAGTTCAGCTCGCTTCTCCTTCCAGTTGCAGAATGCTCAAGCAGGCAGAGAGTACGGTTTGTGGTTAAGAAAGCAGAGACTGATGTTGTGAGCAGCCCCAGAAGCTACAGGGCTGCTGAGTCACAGCTCTCCTTCCTCACCTGCCACTGAACCTTTGTTGATTCTGAGTTTATCTGTTTCACTGTCACATCGGATTTGCAGGCTGAGGGGTTTGCTGAATCACTCGGTGAGATTACAGCAGTGCTCAGCAATGCAGTCCCGGAGCGAGGAGTCACCAACTTGTCTCTCTTCTGCCAGCGCAGGTCTACAGCCGCAGCACGGCTCCCCACCGCCTGTTAAACACAACTGACCCATCCTGTTCATTAGATGTTCCCATTAAAGGAGAAGCCAAATGAAATGAGCTGACATTTCACAGTTCTGCTACAAAAATCAATTTCCATCAACCCCAACAGCAGAACTGGAAAAGGGAGCTGGCTGATCTTCATTAGAAGAGGGATGGGTTCAAGCCCCACTCACACCAGAACTAAGTGAGCTCCCTAGACTCTCTTCCTGCTTTTTCTGGTACCCTGATGGCATGCACCACGCTGGAGATACTGAATATTTAAGCAGTGACTGGAGGGAGAAGAGACTCTTTTGCTTCGCCATCAGAAAGAAGACTTTAGGGCAGACCAGCAAACTCCCACCTGAGAGCAGCAGCTCAGCAAGCACAGGCATTGATCCTATATCCTCCACCTCCCATCCTTCTACTCCTTCCCTCAAGACTTTTCTAATAAGGGGATCTTTCCACCACCCTCCTATTCCTTTATTTTAAAGGGACAGCATAGCTCAGCACCCTTTGAAGCAATAAAATCCAGGTGTCTGACAGATTACAGACCTACTTCTGATCTTTCCCTCAAATTACCGTACCACCTGGAAAAAATGAACTCTGCCACTTTCACCATTTCTCATCCAGCTGGATTAGACTTACAGGCCCAGCTGCATTCAGAGAAAATGATCTCATTTTATGCATTACCCCCTGAAGCAGTCTTTCCCCACACTCGGTGCTTGATGAGAAGCACACGAAATTGAGTCAGCTCTCTTCTCTTGAGGAACAGAGGATTTCGAGTCCTTCCTGCTCAAGGTTAAAAACAAGCCCTAGGAGAGTGTGGTGAATGCAGAGTAAGTTCCACATTGTGCCTTTGCCAGGCCAACTGGTGCAGGGCAACCATCCCACATCCTGAATCTGGCAGGCTGACACTTGCAGATTTTCTATTTTAAATGCTCTTGTAATTTTTGGAATATATCTAATTAACAAGTGAAGGTTTTCTTTGGGATAGAAGGGGTTTATGGTTTCATTTACCACTGACACTTAAAACACACTTGAGGGTAAGGTGAAGTATAAGTCATCTTCAGATTTGCTATGATTTTGAACTGAGAAGAAACTGAATTATACCCTCACCATCCCATAAATATAAAAAATGAAGTTATCAGCCACTAGTACAAATGATTAAGCAAAAGCCAGTGTTTAAACACACAAGCAGACAATAAACGAGCATGCAAAACAACTGCCGGGTAACGTATCTACCATACACGTGCAGCAAGCCAGAGAAGCTAATTTCCACTCAGATGAGTATGGAAATTGCAAACAAGCAGCATATCCATGTTTGCCAAGAGGAGAACAACTTGCTGTCCTGAAAGCTTGAAATGACTTTAAGAAGCATTGGAGAAGAAACAGTTGAGAGGCAGGACTCAAAGCATCCCTCTGAGCAAGAACAGTCCACTACAGAATCCAGCTGTGCCAGGTACAATGGCATGAACAGCTGATATTTCAATTTGCTGGCTGTTCATTATTTTGGATGGAAACACCTTCATAAAGCTGCAGTTTTAGTAAGATACATTGACTCCAAATTTCCATTTCAAACAACAATTAAATTTCTTAAGGAAATGTTTTGTTTCAGCATTTTTCAAATTACCCTTCAAGTTTTTCATCCCTTCTCTTTGGAACAGTCTGTGAAAAAGGGATGTGTTGACTTTTTTTTTTTAATTGACAAAAAAATGCTTTATTTAAAAAAACAAAACACCCAGGTCAAAGAATGGCCTTCCCCATCCCTGCACCAGGCTGCACGCCATGTGGTGCAACTGCAGCAGTTAGTGGCCAGCTGCCTGCCTCATCACAGCCTTAGTAGCCACATTGCCGGCAGCAAGCCAAGAGAAGATACAGGCGTGCACATGGCAGGCCATATGGCTCGGGGTTATAGGTTAGGTGTGAGCAACAGCAAGAAACTGCCAACCTAGCTAAGCTCCTAAAGAGACCACATCTCATCTGATAAATCGATTCTGAACAATGTTCCCAGTATTTCCTGCACAAAAACCAAATTCACCCATCTCGTTTAAGCACAAATGCTGTACAGCTAGAACAGAATGACTAGGACTTAAAATGGTATCCAGGAGGAGTAAAGGTTAACGATCACAGGTTGCTGCTGAAGAACCAGCTTGCTTTCTGCCCACCTAGCTGTGCCAGATG